GGTACAGGGAGTGGAGCTGCGTGAGGTGTCCAAGTGGCAACTGCAGGGTAGGCTGGTATGATGTCAGTGTCCTCTCACCTGGGGAAAGGGGATGCTGGCCCCCAATGGCATAGTGTCTGTTGGAGTCCTCAGAACATGATGTAGACCTGTTAGAGCTCATCCACAGGAGGGTCACAAAAATGATCAGGGATGGAGCAGCTCCCTACGAGGACGGGCTGAGAGAGCTGGGGCTGTGCAGCCTGGAGAACAGAAGGCTAAGGGAGACCTGAGGGCGGCCTGTCTGTATCTAATGGGGGCTGTAAGAGAGATGGGGACAGACTCTTCAGCAGGGTCTGTGTTGATAGGACAAGGGAAAATGGCTTCAAACTAAACAAGGGGAGATTTAAATTCGGTATAAGGAAGAAGTTTTTTTACAGTCGGAGTGGTACTGGCACAGACTGCCCAGTGAGGTGGTGGATGCCCCATCCCTGGAGACACCCAAGGTCAGGATGGAAGGGCTCCAAGCACCTGATAGAGCTGTCGATGTCCCTCCTCATTGCAGGGGAGTTGGACCAGGTGACCTTTGATGGTCCCTTCCAACTCAAACAATTATGTGATTCTGTGATGCTGTGATTCTATTTTGTGGTATGCGGGTACAACTTCTAGTAGATCTGGGTTTACATTCAGCCTGGGTCATGGCTGGCTCTGAAGGTGTGGGTGCAGTGGTTGATACCAAGTTGCACCCAGGGCTTTCAACAGACTGGGCTGAAACACAGGATACTACAGACATAGGTTACAAGATGAGAAGAAGGAAAAAAGGTCTTTTTTTCCTCCTGAGATGAGAACAAATCAGGTTTTGCTTGGACTACTCCCTTTCAGGACACATTCTTTGTAACTCAGCTCCACGCTCAGCATGGCAGACCCCTTCTTGGGCTAGGAGGACAGCACAGTGGGACAAGCCTTCACATCCTGCCCACCCCTGCAGCTGAAGGCTTCATCCCGTGCCTCCTGAGTCAGGATCAGGCTTTGTCACAGCCCAATCCCCCATCACCTCCGTGGCCTCTCCTCGTGTCCCCTGGGAGCTGTCATGAGGCTGCCCGCGCCATGCGGTAACACGGGTCTCAGGGATGCAAGCAAGGTCAGATGTCTGCTCAGAAATAAGATTGGCGATGATGCCACCGGTGCTGACAAATGGCCTGTCACTGCTCTGTGACTCACGGCAGCGGAGAGGGCAGCGGTGGAAGAAACCCATGAGGTCACTCATAGCCTCGCTCCCCCCTGGGAGCCGTGTGTAGCCTTTACCCAGGGAGTGCTGGATTGGGCAAGGCTCTTCCTACAGCCTTCCTTCTGTGTGCCTGCGTGTGGGTTTAGGTGCCTGAATTTTTAGGCACAGATCTGATTTAGCTCCTGCACACGCCCAGGGGGCTGGTCCTGTAGTGCAGATGGTGTCCGCTCTGCAGCCCCTCTTTGGATCTGGGTTTCTGCATGGGGTACTCCTCAGGTCAGCAGTGCTTGTGAGCAGGGTGAGGGGTAAGACAGAGTTTGTGCTTTCAGCCTGTTGCAGTGCTACTGTGATGCACAAATATGATGCTGCTGGGAACAGAGGGCCCTGCAGAGCCAGCCCAGCCCTGGTGTGCTCCAGCCTGGGCCATACTCCTCTGTACTGGGGCATCGGCCAGCTCAGCCTGCCCTTCCTCTCTCATGTTGGGACTTTCCATACTTTTTAAAAGAGCATTTTTCTCAGTTGCAAAAGGATCCATGGACATCACAGCCAAAGCAGCCAGCACCAGGTGCATGCTTCTGGAGATGCTGCACCCACCACTCAGCCATGGGGTCGAGTTGCTTTTTTGGGGACAGTATTGGTGTTACGGGTTTTGTGGGGAACAGGTGACCTAAACTCTCCAAGTAATTTGAAGGAATGCCCCAGCTTTAATATTCCAGTTTCAGTTATTCTGCCTCCTGACATGCTTCATCCTCTTAGCCAGCTCCTGGGAAGCGATGGCGCAGCTGGGGAGGGTGGGATGGGGTCTCTGCACGTAGAACGGCAGATGACAGCACACTGATGGGGATAAGAAGTTGCAAGTCTTGGCAGTATGAAGATCTCTGAGCTGGATGCAGGGTATATCTATGCACCACTGCTTGGAGCTGGTGTCCTTCCTCCCACAAGGACAGCTGTCCTAAAAACCTGAACCCCTTCCGCAAAATGCAAATGCATGAATTCTCCTGCCTTAAGAATCCATCACAGGCTTCTTGTCTCCATCTTGATTGGTTCCAGTGAGGTCAACTTTTTTTAATAACTTCTGGACTTCAGCAGGGAAAACTCATTCCTTCAGGAAATAATATAATTAAGGTTGCCTGACACTTGTGATTATAAGACACTGTCTTCAGTTGCTTGAAACTACGCCAGTCTTTAACAATGTGGACTGAAACTTTGCATGTTCCTGCCTCCAGCTGAACTTTTTTGGAAATTTTTAGCAAAGAAGTGTTTTAAGCTGCTCTCAGGACAAGCTTTGGGGAAAAAAAGACATTTCTTTATCTGTAGCTTAAAAAATAGCTTAAAAGTAGATTAAACTTGCAGTTAGGCTGAAGAAACTCTAGTACCTTTGCACTGTGAGACCAGGGCAGATTGCTGTCAGGGGTGCATATAGTCTGTGTGCAGAGGCGCTGCTTGCAGCTCTGCTCCCAGCAGGACCTTCGATGCTTTGAGCATGCAGGACTGCCAAGCCCATGGTTCGACTGATGCAAGGTGTGCTTCACTGATGGGAGGCTATGGGGCTCTCCTGTTGGTGCAAAGAATTCGTTGATCCCTGATCCATACAGTTTTTATATGATGGTGATTAGAGAGAAGACTTCCCCCCCCAGCATTAGTATTAGTATTAGCATTAGCAAGAATTGTCCAGGATATCCCTCTACCTTAGCTCCACTGATTGTCTGGGAGGTACAGGGACATGCAGCAAGTGCTGCTTTCAAGGTTTTTCAGGAGTGACCTGGCTAAACCACCAGTTCTTTTGCATTGCATCCTCCTAATTCAGCATGTATTTATGGAAGTGTCCAAAATAAGAGCATGTTGTGGGGACAGCCCTGCCAGATCCTGTCCAGCAAGTGTCACCTTGATAATGCGTCCACTTGGGACCTTGAGTCTAGGGTGCTTTCAAGGAGCTCAAGGCTGCTGCAAACCCTCCTGTGGAGCTTGTGCTGCCCTTTGTACCCTACACAAACCTGCCTGTGCTGTGGTCAGAGCTGCCTCCTGTTTTCCAGGAAGTTCAGCTCACTGATACTCACTTCCTGCAGGTTGCCCTGAGTTAGATCCTTCAGGTGCACACCTGCTCTGGACACACCTGCTGAGTTCCTCCAAAACCTAAGTTGGTCCTCAGTTTGAGTTCTTGAGAAGTAAAGAGGAGAAGGTGAGGCTCTGGGATCTGTACCAGAGGTGGCTTGTCCCAACAGAAGAGAGCTCAGTGATATCCCGGGGACACCAAGGTCAGGCTTTGGGGTCTTTGAGCACCAGATCAGGCTGTAGGTGTCCCTGTTCGTGAAGGAGAGTTGGACCTTTGAGGGCCCTTTGCAGCTCAAACAGTTCTGTGATTCTGTGCCCATCCTCATGGTGTGAGCAGGTCCCAAGGACACCCCTCAGCCAAGGGTTCCTGGTTGTAACAGAGCATCCTCACCGCTCGCTTTGCCCTGCCTTCCTCTGCTCTGCTCCATCTGTGGCTTAAACTCTCCCCCCCCCTAAAACAACAACAACAAAACAACTGCGTCGTTGTCATTGCAGAGCGAAGGAGCTTGGTGGAAGGAGCCCTCCTCTCCTTGCACACCCTGTCAGCCTGGGGTGCCCAGTGGGGCGGCTCGTGAGTGATGGGGCGTTGCGGGTGTTCGGCTTGGGGCAGCCGGAGTTGAATTTCCTGGTGTCTGACACCTGACAAGCATGATAAATTGTGGTACGCCACGCGCTGCCAGCGTGACAAACGGTCCATTGCCCTCCTTTTAAGCTCTGGGAAAACTTTTTAATTATTTCCCAGCACTTTGCAAATGAGCGTTTCTCAATCAGGCGCCCAGTGGAGTTCCTTTTTTTTATTGGGAGGGGGATGGGGGCAGGGAGGATTATTTGTTTGTTTGGGTTTTGCAGGCAGATGGGGGTGGGCAGGATCTGCAGTTTGGGTTTGTGCAGTGTTTGGATGGGGTCCTGCAGAGGGTTGGGATGGAGCTCATCAGCTCAGGTGCTAATTAAAGCACATCGTGTTCCAGGCTTGCAGTCGCCCGTGGGAAAACGTCTCCCCAAGAGCGGCACTGAGGCTCTCCTCTTGCCAGTGGAGTTTGGCTCCTTCTATTTTTCATATTTAATAATGCAGAACCATTGTACTTTTTTTTTTATTTTTTTAATCTTCTCAAAGCGCTTAAAAAGGAGGGAGGGAACCAAAGAAGCTCAGCCACAAGAGCTAGATAATGAGTGCTGATAATTTGTTTGTCTAACACGAAAAGTGTGTTTGCAGCTGTAACCAAAGGCACCGAATGCCCCAGACACTGCCTCGTTGGGCAGCACATCACACAGCATCTCTCACACATTTGTAGTCCTGGGAACCTGTACCACAAAACTGTGTGTGCTTCTTTCCTTCCCTTGGTGTACAGTGGAACCGTGTGTAAGGCCCTGCTGGGTTAGGGCTTATGCAGCACAAGACCTGTGGGCACGTGCCAGGATGCTGGGCTGACATTTTGGTCCTGCTACGTTATTTTGGATGGCGACTATTGCTGTCTTGAAGGATGATTAGAGATGCCCCAAGCTGCTGTATTTTTTCCCCCTCTCCTGTTTCATGTCTCTAAATCAAAATAATTAAGCAGATGCATGCTCTGGGGCTGGACTGGGATGCTCCTTCGGGAGGGCTGTACATCCAAACAAGCTTTGTGTCACCCCTGGCTGCCAGGGCTGGGAAACAGATCCCCTCCCTTGTTCATTGCTTGTGCTTGAAGCAAGCGCAGTGCTGCACCAGATAACCTGACAGACTGTCTCTTCTGCTTTGTTGAAGAAACTCCCAGATCCGAGCGACGGGGTTCAGCCGATCGTGAGCAACCAGAAGAATCCCAGAGACTTTGATGATAAATAGGGGACGCCCCCAGGATTCAGGACCGGTGGAGAGGTGAGAAATGTACTGAAGTGCTCACTTACCTGCCTTGCCCTCAGTTCCCATGTTCTAAGCATCAATTCTTTTATTATTATTAAATGAGTTCTTTCTGTTCACCCTTCCTGCACATGGGATACAGCATCTATCTTGTGCCCATCTCTGTCCCACTGATGCTGTAGGGCTGCGTCCCCTTAGGAAAACACCATGGCTGCCAACACTGGTCAAAAGGTTGTCAGATTTTCTATTCATGCCTTTTATGGGTTATGATAATCTAACATCGTTTTTGGAGAAGTCTAGGGTCACTTCCTAAGCCACAGGGACTCTACTTGAGCAAAGAAAGAGTGGTGATGGTACTGCCTTGTTTGGACATACAGGCCATGCTGAGACTTGCTAGAGGTTGGGAAAGCCAATGCTTGCTGCTGCTGGGTTTGGAAAATGGAAGTGGTGAATTAAATTTTTAACGGGTCCCTAACTGCCAAGCAAGGACATCTTAAATGAGAATTGTCACTGTTTGACTAGCACAGCCTCCCACTTAGCAAAAATTGCGTGGTTTTAATTACGCTGATCTTGGAAAAGCAATCACTTGCACCAAAGAGGTGAAACTTCAACAAGACATCAGGTGTCAGGGATTCTCACTGCCTGCTTCTACTGCTCTCTCCCGTGCAGCCCATTTCCCAGGGATGTTTTGCAGCCTCTTTCAGTCTGCACTGACCTAATCATTGTCCCCTGAGCACCAGGCAAGGACAGAAATGCACCCTGCAAGTGCACTTGAGGCTGGGTGCAGGCACTGGATGTAGCTCAAGGTGAGAGACCACAGGAGTGGGCAGCACCTGGTGGGGCACATTGGTCTGCAGCAGCAGAACTGCCATCAGCACTGCCTGGGGGTGGCATCTGTGGGACGGTGTGGAGTAAGGACCCCTTCCCATCCCTCCTCATCCTCTACCCAGCAACAGTTCTCCTTGCAGCTCTGCAAATAGAGAACAGCACAAGGAGGGTACGTCGCTAATAATACCAATTACTGTTACACGCTGGCTACAAGGTACGCTGGCAGTAATGGGATCCGGGGGGATGAAATGAAAGCGATATAATATGGTGAGATAAATTAGCATTGTAAAATTAGCCATGGGTCTAGTCGGGGATCTGACAAATGTGTTGCAGCTTCGTTACAAGCTCTGAGCTCTGCCGAATTGGATTTAGTGGCCCAGAGCAAAGCAGACAGGAGCAAGGGAAAAGAGAGTTTATTAGGGGTCTCCGTACACACATGCTAATGGTTAACGCTGCTTGTTGCTTCCTTGACTTTGCTGAATGATATGTCCCCTGGCGCCTGCTCGTATGCTGCAGTGCAGGAATAAAAGCCCAACCCTGCTGATGTGCTGCTGGAGCAGCTCAAGCCTGGCAGAGGAATGGGAAGTGGATGGAGTGGCGCAGGTTTGGGGTCAGGTGGGATGTGGGGAAGGTGTTTGTGTTTTAGCACGTGTTTCAGGCTGTAGGAAGGGTTGGAGGCTGCAGCCTTTCCTATTTCCCATGGTCTAGGCTTGGCTGTGGGGCAATTCAAGCTGGGCATCCCACAGCTCTCCCTGCACATCAATGATACACCACCAACTTCAGGGGTCCAGGTGCACATATTATCCTTCTTTCTCTGAAAGGGAAGGCTGTTTGTGCCTCAGGAACGGCTGTGGCCAGATCCAGTGGGACTTGCTGCCTGGAGGCTCGTTAGGCAGCAGCGGAGGCAAGCGGTCCCGCTGTGAGCAGCGCATGGATTTGTGAATGCAGACTAATTGCATGTTTAATGGCTGATGCATTACACAGAATCTAGGGAGGGGCAGGCATGATTTAGGTCTGGTTTAATAAGGCACGTCGTGTGGCTCATTTAATAATAATAAAAGCAAGGGAGAAAAGCGCAGAATATGCTGTAGAGCTCTGTGGTGGAGCTGAAGGGCTTGCAAGGAGGTCTAAGAAGTACTAAGGCTTCTGCAAGCTGTGCCACCATGGTGCTAGAGGAGTGGTAGGTACATGGCAGACATGTCCATAGGAGGGATGAATTCCTGGGGACTGCAGTGGGCTGGGCATTGCTCCGTGCTGTTCTGGAGATCAGGGCACTGTGGGCATATACGAGTTGCATTATGTACACAATGTTTTGCCAGGAGGGTCCCCTGGACAGCAGCATTGGCTGGAGCAGTGGTCACTATGGGACTATCTCAGCAACACCCAAACCCAGGAGCATCCCAGGAAACCCAGGTGGGTTTGTGAGCACCAGTTGGTGGGAGATCAGTGTGCTGGTGCAGCTGCCCATGTCTATGTGGCTGCAGAGAAAGCAGGGTGCAGCTGTGATGCATTTAAGGTGCATCAGACCCCAACCAGCTCCAGGTACAGCCAAAGGGTTGGTGAAAGCAGATCCTCTGGCCCCATCTTTGCTGCCGGAGAACCAATGCAGGACCTCAGCAGGGAGCAGCAGGAAGGCAAGCCCACAGTGCAGTGCTCACAGAAGCATAAATAGAAATACGACTTCTCAGGCTCTTGTGCAGCAATGATATATCTTGTTTCTATTGACTTTTTTTAAACCTCTAAAATACATTGTAGATTGATCTACAAATCTGCAAAAAGCACCTGTTTTTTTTTCTTTCTTTCTTTCTTTTTTTTTTTTTTTTTTAAGTCTAAAGCAATTTTCTGCCTGCTCCTTGTGGTTGGCTCTGAACAGACACATGTTCTCTTGTCCTCTTTGAGGCTGGCGCGCTGCCACGATAGTAGGAAGTTTAGTAATACTTGAGCTGGATCGATGCAAGCCCATTATCTGTGCTGCCTGGGACTTGGAAGAGACGGGGAAAAAAAATGCTCTCCCCGAACGCATCAAAGCCCTGCGATAAGGACAGGCGGCTGAGCGCTATTTATAGATGGACAGATGTCTTGCCAGAGCTCTGGTGCTGTCACTTGTTTATGCAGTTTTTGAGCATTTAGCAGTGTTTATGAGGGCCTGAAGAGAAATCTGTCCTACCTTCTGTCTGAGACGGATCCCTCCAGGCACAGCCGGTGATGGCGGCTCATTTGCTCGAGGGCTTTGTCCTTGTTCAGAAGGAGGGACCTGCCTTTCAGATGGCAAGAAGAGTATGGTTGTGAGGCCTCGAGGTGCTCTGTGATCAGAAGTAGGGTGTGACCAGTGATCTCATCTCCTTGCGTTGCTGCAGACCCACATGGACCTTGGAGGTCTGTAGTTCAGAGCAGAACTGTCACCAGAGCTGTGTCAGGTCAAGTGTGGGCTGTGAAGGTCTCCATCCTCTGCCCCTTGGGATTCTGGCTCAGGAAAGAGGTTTTTCCTACTGGTTAGTTAGTTAGTGTGGCCAGTGCCATTCCATTTCATGTAAAAGCCTACATCCCTCATCAAGAAACACATAGAGCACTTGAATAGGTGCAAGCCATTCAGCCTCAATGTCAGGAGTGGCTCCTGAGCCCAAGTTAGGTCTTGCAGTGCATGTCCATGTACATCTTCAGTGAGTGCAAGTGTCTGGGCCACTCCTCCAGCTGGCCCTCAGGATAGGCAGAAGTTTCTCCTTGCATCCAGTGGGAGCCTTTTCTTTCAGCTCCAGCACGCTGCCTCTCATCGTCTTGTCACACACTGCTGCAGAGAGCCCAGCTCGGTCTTCTCCACAACTCCCCCATTCATTTTGGTGACCTCTGCTGAATTTTCTCTAACAGCTTGTTACTGGGGCTCCCAAGACCAGTTGTGGTGGTGGGCTGGAGTTTTCAAAGCAAATGCTTCAGTGGCCTGGGGCTGCAGGAGGGAGGGAGGTGCCTGCAGGCAGGTTTAGGGGACCAAACCTGACTGTGTATTTTAACACATCCTTTCCTTTACAGGATGCCTCATTCCTGAGCCAGGGAGCAGGGAGATTTCTGCCCCCCGTATTGTGTTCATCTACACAGTTTTTGCAGAGTGCTCTGAGCATCCCTTGCTCTCCGCTCAGCTTCAGCCACTTTGCTCTGCCCATATATTCCTCTGACTAGTGGGCAAGCCAGGAAGTGGATACCTTTGTAACAAAACCACATATAGGCTTTCAACTGGTGATGACACTTTCTCAAGCTATCTGTCTAGTGAATGTGCATTCCCCAGCTTGTTTGTATTCACAGGCATGATACTTAGCTGCGCAGGTGGGCCATGGATGTCCAAAAAGATGTCAGTGTCAGGAGGAGGCTTTAATGCAAGCCTTTCTGCTATTCTATATGATGGGTGGCAGGTGAGATCCTAACGTGCCAAGGGCTGCAAGGGGGATGGCTTGCAGGGTGAGGCACAGGAGATGTGGCTCAGCCAAGAGGCAGCAGCAGTGCTGGGGATGGCTTTTTACTGCTGAGCTACAGCATGACCGTGGCAATCATTCAGTAAATGAGGGCTCTAATGGAGCCAAACAGTGTTTTCCAATTAAAAGAAACAACCGTCAGTAACGGGGACAGCACTCCCTCTGAAATACTATATGCTCACCAGATTGCATTACAGCCGCTGTGGGTCTTGGCTCCAGGAAAACTGCGACGATGGATGCCCGATGCTCTGCCCCCTAGGGCAGATGTGGGGTGTATGTGGGGTGGGAGCTGCCCTGTGAGCCAAAGCTGTGTGCAAGGCAGGCACCTGCTGCATTACCCTGTGTCCTTTCCAATGGGGAAGGGGTGCCAGTGGGGACCTTCTTTCTTTCTAACAGCAGGATGGTTCCAGGCAGCTGGGACACCACTCTGCTCCAGGGCAATTAGCAGCACACGCTAGGCTTGGTGTAACAGCCTCTAACAAGTTTGGCTCAGCGCTGCCCTTCACTGAGATCACATTGCTCGCTCTTTTTCTTCCCCTTGCCCTAAATCGTAGCACTTACATAAAAAAGGAGGGGCAACGCACGTGGGGCCTGCACAATTTATGGATCAGAGATTTATATGCCGCTGGGATGCAGTATTTTTTCCCCACCGTGACACTTTATTGCCACAAATTACCAAACAGGCAAGGTTACACGAGTGACAGCAGGCAGGGCTGTAAAGGACAGGAA